AGAATTTGGGTACCTTCTAAGTTTTATTCAATCAGAATTTATGTTTATCCAGATCCCCAGGAGACTTGCATGCTTATTTAAACTTTGGGAAGCACCGGTGTATGATGCAATTCCCGCCACTCAGAGACTTACAAACTGGTAAATCCTTCAAATGTGCAAATGCCAAATATATATATATATATATAGTTCCTTGTATTCTGTGTCCAAGCTCCAGTGAGTTGTGTCCTGATTACTTAAATGCAAGACAGCAAGGGAGAGAGGCCTGGAGTGAGAGCCATTTATTAAGGTGAGACAGATGCTAGAAGAGAGATTGTTCTGTTAGTCCAAACACACCATCAAGGTCTGGGCAAGAGGGAACACAAGAACCCCAGGAGGAGTCACAGCTTAGCCAAGCCTTGGAGAGTTGGCTGCATCCAAGAAGACAAGCAGGCATCAGCCAATGACAAGGTGAGCTAAGAGTAGGAAGTAGACCAGGCTGTGGCAGGAAGTCAGAGCGAGGCTCCAGAGGAAGGAAGCCAGGAGAGGYGGCATGGCCTGTGGCTTCAGAATCTTCAGACCTGAGCATCATTCCAAGACCCGCACCCCCCACCAAGTGTTTAGCCTGACAGAGATCCATTTTCTCCACCTATAAAAATGAGCTAACAAAAGATACTCCATGAGGAGGCTAGCAGATTAAATAACACGGACAAAACACTTGGCTTATGGAGTTACTTAATAATAAAATAAAAACTRACATCTGTCAGCATGTGCTAGTTCTATATATTTTTTCCAGCACATTTGAATTACACCAACAACCTGGTAAAGTTGGGGGGATTATTATTCCCATTTAAAATCTGGGGAAACTGAGTCACACAGACATTAAGAGTGATTAAGCCTCTCGCCAGGCTCACTCAGCTGGGACAGTGCACAACCTGGCACTCACACTCATCCCCACTTCCTGTGGACGCTTGTTAAACATCACAGCTCAATACACAGATGGGTATTATTTCATCAGTGTCATGAAGTGTCCTGCAAAGGGGCTGCTGCTGCCCTGGGCAGTTTTCCACATCTGAGACTCCAGGGGAAGGAGAGATTACAGGACAGCGCACCCACCCACAAGCCCCACCCAGAGCTGTGACAACAGGGCCTGGGCCAGCACACGGAGCCAGGCACTTCCCTCTGTGAGGCGGGGTGAGGTTTCACCCAGCTCCCATCTGAGCATGTTCTAGCCCTACTTTACGGCACAAGCCCCATTCCAGTCCTGCTGTACTCTGCCCAGGCAGCTTGCCCCAGGGTTKCGGGGGCTTGTGATGGTCATCCATCTCCCTGACAGCCATGGCTGCGGGCAGCAACAGGTTACAATCTCGGCTCTTAAGAACCATCCTTAAAACCTGAGCACTTACACCCTCTTTTAGGCTGATTATACAAAATGGAATCCCAGGTATCAATTTGTGGGCTCCAGAAGTGTGAGAAGCTGCTGTGGGCTACCGGAAGGCAGAATTATTTCAAGGTAGTGGCAATTTGCTGAAAGCATCGGCTTTGCAGTCATACAGGGTTACTTAGAAGGCCTGGGTCTATGGCCCCCAGCATCTTACTTAGGTAAATTGCCCAATCTTTCCGAGTTCTAATGTTCCTGTCGATAAAAAATGGCAACCAAAATAGTGCTGACTTTGTAAACTTTTGTGGGATAATATCTGTGAAATACTTTACACCTTTCCTGGTACTCAAGTAAATACTAGCCGCCACGATTATGATTCTTGCACTTATTTTGATTACTTAAGCCACCTCTTTCATGCCAAGGCACCAGCCGAAAGAAGGAATTAGAGGTCCTCTCTGCCAGATGTGGCTGTTACATGTCACTTAGAGGCTGCATTACAGGAAAAAGGATGGGAATGTGCTTGTGGATGCATGCACACATGTGCACGTGTGTGTTCTAGAGATGGTTAATGGTGAATTGGACTTTGAATGAATAGCTTGTTGGATAAGAATTACATACATCAGGTATTCTGAGCAGGCTTTTGTGATACCATGGATGGAAGTCCAGAGCTTGAAAGCAAAAAAAAATAACTATAAAGATCTTGCCACAAATGCTGCAAAGGAAGACAAATATGTTTAAAGCAGGCTCTCAGGGGAGCTTTATAGCTCTTGGTGGCCATTACTAAATCATCCCATCACCCAAGGGCTCCATGGTTTATTTAGCAGGTATGTATTTAGAATCAATGAGTAAGTATTAGAAAACAAATCTAAGAAAGTAGGACCAAAATCATCCTCTTGTTCTCTGAGCAAGAAAATCATGAGACTGTCAAAGGCCATACTCTTTTCGGGGAAAGGACCTTGTAAAAGGTACAGCACACAGTTTGGAGGTCCTGGATGACACTGGGGGCTTATTCCACACCAAGAATACGTGTTAAATAGGGAGAATCCTAATTAATCCTCATTAATAGAGCTAGGATTCTTAACCTGAACCCAGGATCTCATGAACTACCCGAAGGGTCACATTGGGAATTCATCTGAATTTCTGGGGAGAAGGTCTGCATACAATTTTCAAAAACTGTATGACCCAAAATGTCTAAGAACCAGCACTTTGCCGTTCTCTATCCCTGACAGTCTAGGAAGCCACTATTGGCTGGAGGCCATCCCACATCTGAGGCAGGAATGGGGTGGCCACAAAGAAGCTTCTTTGTGGAGTCCGTGGACTCCAGGCTCATAAAGACAAGTGGAAGTACACGTTGGGGGACAAGCAGACTCTGAAGGTACCAGAACAGGCAAAGCCAGACTGATCATCTTTGCCAGTTACCAGCCTCGAGAAAATGCAGAGTGCTATGCCCTGGACACAGGTGCCTCCCACACCACGGAGGGAAGGAGATGGAACTGCGCCCAGCATGTGGAGAATAGTATGGAGGATGTACCCAGGCTGTCACTGACCCAGGTGATTCTGAGCTTTTTGAAGTACACCTGAACAGACTGGTGTAAAGTAATCCTGCAGGTATTTTCATTAATAAAACTTGCCAGAGCTGGAGAAGAAGAAAAAAAAAAGGAAGAGAGAAGGAAAGTAGGGAGGGAAGGGAATGGGGGCAGAGAGAAAGATGGAGATGTGTGTGTGTGGTGTGTGTGTGAGGGAATAAGTTCATGCAACCACAAAGACAACTGGGGACCTTTTGCAGATCAGAGGAATAGCAACTTCAGATATCTCCAGCTTCACAAGGACAAAACATCTCTCTCACTCTGCACACAACCTAGTCCTCCCTCTCTTTCTAGAAGTTTCTCTCCATTTAGGCCAAATCCCCTCCCAGTCATCCTTAGGGCTGCACACCCAGTTATAAAATCTCTCTCCCCTGCCATAGTGTGTCCCCCAGAGGAAGAAGCCCCTTGATATTTCCCAGGGTGCAAAAGCCCTCACACAACTGACCAACCAGCTTATCTGATGCAGAACTATTGTGTGGAGTGTTTGTATCCCAGTCTGTGTCACCTGGTCTTTGTGGCCTAGGTGTTTATTCTAAACTCTAAACTGCCTAGAGACCACTGCTGTTTAGTTTTCTTTTATGTAGGAGGAATTCAAAGCAGACTTCAAAATTGTTCTAAATTTTGTAGCACTGTTTGCTAAGATTGGGGCAGTTGGTTCTTCAAAAGCCTTATCCTATGGCTTCAATTAATTCTGCCTATTAAAAATATTCATACCCTTTTCTCCAAAAAAATTGTTTTCTTTTTAAATTTTTGTAAATCTGATTTCTGACTCAGTTCCTCCCACTATCCCTTACTCATGGACTGGAATTTTCATTTTACTAAAAATGAAAAAATTCTTGCTGCCGAATGATTTTTTCAGGCATTCAAAGCCCTCACTATCTTTGTTTGGAAAAAGCAAGGTTGATTCCCCCACCCAAGCAGTTTTAAAGACCACACTCTAAATATCTCATTTTCTGTGTTTGCCCCTCATTGCTCCATCCCACACACAGTGTGCCCAGTGCTCTTTCCCAGAGCAAAGGCATTATATCTAAGAGCTTGCTGGCTCACTCATCTCTCAAACTGCAGACCACCTGGCTCTTTGGAGCACTGGGCCCTACAGCATGAATAGAAGAGGGCTTTGCAATCTCTTTCCACAGGATGACCCTTGAAGGCCTGCGATGACATAGAATTACCTTTGAATTGTCCTCACACCACCCATAACACCACCACACAAAGCCTGCTTCAGCTAGATGGAGCACATCCCCTACCAGCTTCAGGTCTGCCCAAGTACTTCAGTCACTTTGGTCACAAGAGTTCAGCATTCTGGGCACATCTACTCAATTAAGACTGCAGATCTGGCCCAAACTCTGCACCAGACTCCAGGAAGCTAACTTATTTCCTCATAATTTATCTGCCCATTCAACAGCCCTGGGCAGGACTTCCCCAGGCTTGGTTTCCTTCCACACCGTGGTTGGGTGGTTGGGTGGTTGGGTGGTTGGTTGGGTGGTTGGGTGGTTGGTTGGGTGGTTGGGTGGTTGATGAAACCCTAACCTTGAACTTCTGCGGGCTTCCCCACTGGGTCTTCTCACTGGATAAAGCTAGCAGTGCTTGGAACTGTGCATCTCCCCACCCCACACTCACACCCCCAGACTGAAGCCAGGGTGTGAGTTTTTGCACGACAAACATCCCCTTCAGGGTGTGACCTCAATCTGAGCTCATCTGACCTTGTTAAGGAGCCAAAATGGAAAAAGCGATGGCCAGTTATGTGCTTTGGGTGGGGACCCAGAGAATCTGCAGCACCCTCATCCTGCACGTCCCCACGCGCTGGGCCTGGTGCTCATCTGTTTCAAGTTACAGTTGCAAAATATCTGTGCAAAGGGCAGAAAAGCCAAGGTGGGGAGAGATTGCAGGTTCTAGGTGATGTTGGCAATGAGAACATGTAAAAGAAGCAAAAAAAGGGAAGGGTCCAGGCGGGATTGGGGGCACATGGGACAGCTAGGGCTCGCAGGGACCAAGATAAAGCAGAGAAGTACTCGGGAATCAGGCGGCTGGCCAGGACGCGCGGCAAGGTCACCCACCTCTTGATGTAGTTGCTGAGGCGGTAGAGCTGCCCGTCGAGTCTCACTATGCCGTCGCCAAAGACATTGAAGCCCCCGCGCGCGACCGCGGGCTCCTCGGGCCCTGGCACCACGAGCTGGTCACCGCGCAGCTGGAAKGCGCCGGGCTGCAAGCGCAGCAGCTGCTCCAGAGGTAACAGGGCCAGCTCGCAGTCGCACGTCCACAGGCTGCGCAGCTCCCCCGACGAGATGGAGGTCAGACTCGGCCTGGCCATCGGCTCGCACGCCGCCGCCGCCATGCGGGGTCAATCGGAGCTGCCCCACCTGCTGGCGTCGCGGCCCCGCCCAGCCCAGCCMGCACCTGACTGTCCCCCGAGAGGGCCCCGCGTCCTGCCCGCGTCCGCTGGAACAGGGGTCGCTCTGTCCGCCTGCCCGAGTCCGGGCGCAGTGGCCGTCCAGGTAGCCTCTGTCCGCCGGGACGGCTGCCTGTCCCCAGCTGCCGCCCGCCCGCAAGGAGCGCTGCCAGCAGAAAGCGGTCCCCGCGCCGCGCGGCCCCTTTTATGGCCCTCCAGGCATCCGCCGCGCCCCTCCCGGTCCCGGCACGACCCCAGACACTGGGGGCCGAGTTATCGTCGTCGTCGTCTCATAACTTGGCACGCTCCAGCCCTGTCTTGCCTGCTGGCAGCCAAGATTTAGTCATCCCTCCGGGGTCAGCTACTCAACCCCCGCGCTGGGCCCCGCCCTGCCTGCAGGACACTGCGGGGGAGGGGACAGGGGTGGGGAGAGCTCCCCGCTTGCCCCGGCCTGGCCCCGAGCGGGCGGCGCGCAGCACCCACCCATTCCTAAGGCGCCACCCCTCTGGTACTAACTGGAGGGCGGCTCACAGTCCCCGGCCCACCCTCTCTCTGGAACCCAGGGGCTGACCCCGAGCAGCACTGAAGCTTCCTCCCCAGCCCATCCCCACTGTGAGTTGGAGTTGACCTCCCTCCTTGCTCTTTGGGCCTCAGTTTTCTGCCCTCCCCGCTCCAGATCAGGCTTTCCATTTTCTTCCTCTCAGACTTTCCTGATTCAGGTTCCCATAGCCAGATGTCCTCCCACTAAGAAATTCCACTGTTCATCTTTTCGCTTTTCGGTAAGGTCCGAGCGAATGCGCCATGAACCTCACCCCTTGCCTCTCTTGTTTCTGTCCTGATGGACCCGAGACCAATGTGTGCCACAGACTGGAGCTGGAAGGGCCCTAGATGTCTTCCTCCTCCCCTGCCCCCCAGCAGTCTATGAACTCCTTGAGTCCCGGAATACTTGCATTTGTTCAATCAGTCTATAAATATTTGAGTGCTAGCTATGTGCTCATTATCCTCCTGAGTTATGAAAGGAGGAATATGTCACTCAATTTAATTAAACAACTATTTCCAGAGCATCTAATAGTGGATAGAGAGTTAGCTAAATTCTGAGGAGACTAGAATGAGCAGACACAATCCCTGCCATCCCCTAAGGTACAGTCTAATAGCGTGGCAGGCTCGTGTTCCAACAACTGAAGAAAGCACTAACTGAAAAATCTGTGCCTCAAATAAACATAAACAATWTAGGAAGAGAATCTAGCCCAGTTTTGAGGCTTCCCAAATTACTGTGATTTAGATCTCTAAGGTAGAACCCAAAAGTTAAGTGAAATTTAGAAAATATCTTTTTGTCTTTGGGTGCCTCCAGCATCATCCCTTATTTAGGTTTAATTAAATAGAATGAAAGTCCAGCCATATCTCACTTAAATACTTAAGTGATCTCCATTCTCTTCACCTGTTCTAGAGAGTGGTTGATTTTGCCAGGGGGGCCCCAGGACAGATACTCAGGGGAGATGAGGCAGGGGCTGGACTTTGAATGGTTTTGGAGAGCTCCCAGGTGAAGGAGYACCCTCAATAAGAAGTTGGGAAAGATTCTGGACCAGTTCTACACAAAAGAGAAGGTATGTTCTGTTTGGAGAAGAGCGGTCAATTTTTAATGGCTAAAGTGGAATACATGTGAGTGAGAGAGGTGAGTTGTATAACACAGGAGGCTAGAAAGGGCAGTTGGGGCCAGATTATGACAGGCACCCGGAATTGTCTGGGGATTTGGTCCTTAAGGCAATAGGGAGATTTCAGTGTTTCTAAGGAAGAAAATAATATAATTATGCCCAAGTTAAGACAGATACATTTGGTTATGGCCATCTGGCTGTTTTGAAACAAACAAAAAGATTGAAGGAAGAAGAGAGACTTAGAGATGGATGTAATAATCTAGCAAGAATGATGAAGGTCTGAAGTAACAGAAGGCATGGGAATGGAGATGACAAATTTGGGACATTTTTGAGCTACAGTCAGCAGGRTTTCATAAGCAAATAAATGGAAGGAAGGAAAGAATGACATTTAGTGTCTTCCTCTTGGGTACATAGACAGATGGTGCTACCATTAATGAAGGTAGTGTTCTGAGAAAAGGAGCAGGTTTGTGAAGAGAAGACAATGAGTTCAGGTGGGGACATTGTAATTTTGAGTTACTTATGATATGTCCAAGTGGAAGAGTCCAGGAGGCACCTAGCTAGTTAGCTAGGGCTGGACTTTTGGAGAGATGGCACTGTTAGTGATTGAGATTTGAAAGTCATTAGCTCACAGATGGGGTCATTAGCTTCCAGAGAAGTGGAAAGGTATGTATTAGTTAACCTTCTGTTGCTGTAACAAATAGCTGAGTTAAATAACTTATAAGAAGGAAAGACTTATTTTGGCTCATGGTTTCAGTTCATGGTCGGTTGACATGTTGGTTGCTTTTGGATCTGTGCAAGACAGAACATCATGGTGAAGAGTACACAGTAGAGCAAATCTACTCAGCTCATGGCATCTGGAAAGTGAAGGGAAAGACCAGAAGGGGCTTGGAAGAGGGTCTTAACATCTCTTTCAAGAGTATGGAAAGCAGGTTGTGCCCTGCTCTTAGTCCACAATGTACAGAGCAGTAGTTCTCAGATTATGCCTAAACTGTGTTACTCTATTCTATAAAGCAATAGTTTGCCATCAGCGACTCCATTTTGAGTTTAAGTGTAGAGATTGAATGACTCCACACTTTGTTTGTACAAGTAAGAAATGACCATCTGCCTGGCACAACCATAAACACAAACTGATAAATCAATTATGCTAATAAAAATGGCCACCTGTGAACTTATTGAATTAATCAGAAGCACATGAATGCATGCATGGGTGTATCAAACTCATACTGGAAAAACCAGGCCCAAGACCTTATTGAACATACCATAACCCCTCATTCAAGACCCATAAAARGAGGAGCACCTGAACCCCTGGACATGGCAGCACCCTGATCCAATCACCTAGTCACTCCCCCTCATGAGCCTTGCCCAAGAAAATTGCCCCAGCAATGAATTTCCAAATCTCTGTCTTTGGGCTTCAACAGAGCATGGTTTCTCCTACCTGTGACAACTATGCAGGACCCACTCCACGCTGATATCTCGAGCTAATGGTCTGCAACTGCCATCCTTTTGGACCTTGACCTAGACTCATTTCCTGTGCTTTAACAGCTCTTTACCTGAAAAGCTAGCTGGTTCATAAACTTACCTGACCACCAACAGTGACTCTCTGCATTTGTATCTGTCTTTACTCTCAATTTAGCCTCCTGAACCTTTATGGTGGCCTTAATCCTTTCTTAACCTTTCTGTAACATATATATACACTGTAAAGTATGATATGTGACTTGAGTATTATAACAAATTAAGTTATATTGAGTATTATTATAAATTAAGATTGGAATAAAAGAACTTATGATTGCCCAGCTTGTGACACTTAGGTGACCCACAAAGTATTTGGTGAACTGCCACCAATGAAAGTGGTATAACCTGTGAATTTATTGCTATTCAGCAAATTCTGACATTGCGGAAAGGCGCAAACACGTGTGGTCCATGTTGATGGCATAGCTGGCTCCTGATAACAGGCACATCCCCAGTGACCTCACTTCCTTTCCCTAGGTCCCACCTCTCTAAAGTTCTAACACCTCCCAACAGCACCATAGACTGGGAAGCAAGCCTTTAGCATATGGGTTTTTGAGAGAAATTTAATATTCAAACTAGCTAATAAGTGATAGGATAGGAATTTGAACCCACTTTAGTTTATTTCACCAGATGGTAATTGAGCATCTGCTGTGTTCCAGGAAAAGTGCTTTACTGAATATATGGAAGTGACTAGAGGATTTGCCCTCATCTTCAATGACAGAGGGAATGCCCAGATCAGCATAAGCTCATCTTCTGGCTCCATATCCAAACACGATGCTAAAATCTAGTTATATTTTGCTTTCAACACATCTGTGATCAATTGGTAGGTATACCCTCAGCAAAAACATGATGGCTACAAAACTTACTTTCCCAATTAGTAAGGTCAAGGAACGCAAGTCTACTACAGAGCCCTGCCCAGTCCCAGCCGAGATGGACTTCAACAGCTATTGGCTGTGCTTTAGTGACATCACTGACTTACAGGCTCTGCATCTCAGCTTTGAAAGGCTCAAAGTTGGTCAAAGTCAGAGACCCTAACTGAAGTCTCCTGAACACACAGATTGGAAAMCAACTCCATGCCACCAGTAACTTCATTCTTCCATTCTCTCTCAGCACACAAATACCTATAGGTCTTTCTCATCTTTATACAGTTTTACATGCCTCATTCCTTTTTATAGCTATTTTTCCATGTCTTGTCTTCTTTCTGTGGTTAAACTCCCTGAAAGAATTGTCTGCATTCCTTGTCAGCYGTTCATTCCCCAAGACTTTACACCCTGACCCCTTCCCATGGCACCACTGGACCCACCTTATGTAGTGCTAGTAGCCTCCGTGTTGTCAAATCTTATGCGTGCTTTCTGTTTTAACACACTTGTCCCTGCAATTCTCTCCTCCCTTAGCTTGTGAAGAAGTTGCACCAAGTTATTAAAAAGCTCAAAGCTTTTAAAGTTGGAAACCGACTCTGTATTTGCTAGCCATGCCATCTTGCACAAATTTCCCAAACTCTCTGATCCTGGTTTTACTCAATTCTAAAATTCGTGCAATACACACAGWATAGAAGAATAGCAACACAGTGAAAAGCTCAGGCTTTGGGTTCAAGTTCCACGTTAGCTCTCTGACCTTGAACACATCACTCACGTGTGCTTCCATTTCCTCTTGTGTAGACAGCAGGCTYTGTGAAGATGTAATGAGCTACTGCGAAGCATTCAGAGCAGCGTCTGGCACATAGTGTCATGTTCACTGTGTTCCCGATGCCTACCTCAGGGGACTTCTGTAAGAGTTCAGTGAGGTGACAGCCCACGCCGAGCATCTAGCACAGTGCCTGACACATAGCACACCCTCACTTCATAGTGTCGGCTCCCGTCTTCTGATCTTTCTCCTGAGTTCCAGGATTCCATCCTCCTGCCAGCTTCCCTTTCCCTAGGTGACTCTGTTTAAGCCTTTGACTCCAGTGACCCATAAAACCCATGATTCCCCAGGCTCCGGGCCAGACATTTTGTCAGATCCTCAGACTGACCTACCCAGCTCCCTGCCCAGTCTCTCTGTGCCTTTCCAAGGGCACCTCCAATGGGACATCTTCCTGCCACTGAAGTTCTTTTTCTCCTGTGTTCCTCTTCCAGGGAGGCATCTCCATGCTCCACCCAGAACTTTGAAGGCATCCTAGA